TATTCTCATTATTAGTATTTTGAGGACAAAATATTTTCTTTTGAGAAGGGTAGTTGTAACATACCGTCATCTGAAATAACCCGGAAATCAAATCAAAACACCTATATTTTCACTTACCTTTGATTACTTCCAAATATTATGCTTCTATGAATACATTGGAGTCATCTTTTAATGAACTATGAACCATGTTGGTAAACAGTTAGAAGAAAGTTGCAAACGTTTCATATTTATCGACAAATCCACTAAATTTAGAATATGATGTTTCGGGGAATCCCCTGAGGAATTATCTACTAAAGAGAGGCTGTTTTGAGAAATCTGTAGTCAATTTCCACATGAGCGAAAGAACAAGATAAGAATCAGGAAATCAACAAGCTTTAATACAGGGCGTCCAAAAAAAAACAGGACCATAAGAAAGTTGAATAACTCGGTCAATTTTGCATATTTTGCCTTGAAATTTAAGAATTATTTAGTTCATTTAATGTGAACTTTGTTCTGAAAGTTTGATGATAATCTGTTTATTGTGTCAAAAACTACAGTCCTTTACAAAACATGCTCAAAGTGGGCACTTCTCCTCTCTATGCACAAACAAACAAAGTTGTTAATGACCCTTACCTCTACACATTAATGTGGATGGTAAATATTGGGGTAGTTATTGCCCTCTTAAGATTGTTAGGGGCCTGTCAGTATACACATTGGCTTTGAGAAATCCTCAAAGATAAAAATTTGGGGGATTTAGATCAGGCGAATGAGCTGCCCATATGGTTTGCGTTCTGCAACTGATGAGCTGACCACCAAAGTATTGCCTAAACCATTTCAGCATATCATTTGCAGTGTTGCGGTGGTATTGGCTTGTTGAAACCACTGCTTAATTATCTCCTTCGATGTCCCTTCTGGTGCTTAGTGACCTCCAAAACTTGGTGAGAACTTACTGGTCCTTGTTCATGGTGATAGCAAGTCCCCAGTCACCTTCGAACCAAAAGGGACTGATGATTCCATGTTTCCTCATTGCCATCCAGGGAGTGCATTGTTCAGAATGCAATGGATGCTTTAACACTTCATCAGTAGGATGCAAGCCCCAGTAGCAATTGTTCTTGGAACATACTTGTCCATTCAGAAAGACATGTGTGTAGGAGGATCATCAACAGCTTTGTTAGCCGGATTGAATTGTGCATAGAGATGAGATTTGCACATTTGGGGCATGTTTTATAAAGAGCTGTAGTTTTTGACTCAATTGGTAGATTATTATCAAACTTTCACAACAAAATTCACATTGAATGAACTAAATGATTCCGAAATTTCAAGGCAAAATATGCAAAATTGACCGAGTTATTCAACTTTCTTACGGTCCTGTTTTTTTGGACACCCTGTATGTGGGTGAGTAAGATCGCAGCTCAATGAATGTTTTAAATAGACATAAAAGATTGAATATTAGATCTAGAAGGAGTCTATACAGAGATTGTAGCTAGATTACTGAACAAATTGAAGTTTGAAACTTCCGGGAAAATATTTCACACTTTGATTGTTTTGATGACATTGTATCGACATTTTCATATCAATTGTTTTGGTTTAAGAAGTCTATGAATTGCAAATATACTTTCACATGAAATATAAAGACCACGTAGCGGGATGAATGATAATATCAAGTTTAAGTAACGAATCGAATATTTTAGCGCCATTTATAAAAGCAGACAGCTTTTGTTGATATCACGTGACCTAATGTTTACCAACACATCCGTTTATTAATTTGCCAATATTCTTACTGATATATTGAATCATTAGAAATATCATAGTACAATTTAAAGAGAGATTGAATATTAAGATAATTTCTTAACATATTTTTACACATTCTTTTCTGGATCAGTCAGAAGCAATTTGGGACCAAAGGTAGAATTTTTTGGCGTCTGTAAGTCTGAACTTTGTGCGAAGACAATTTATCAACACAATTAATTCATACGTTTTCTAGGTTAACTATTTCAAGACCGAGTAATTGATAATTCATATCTTGGATTCATAAAACAAAACCGTTTTTAGGTCACATTTTATATGGCATAATTTTTATGTTGTGATTCTGAATGTTTACATGAATAACAGATTTAGATGATTTTAAATTATTGCAAATCTGATCTAAACATTTTTCTACATTTCTATTCATAGTATTGCATATTGACATACACATATTTAATTATCACTTTTAATCTATATATTAAAATGCTACAATAAAAAACTCATCAATGGTAAATGCCCAAAATGTAATGAGGCCAATGCTGTTGATTTGTACATGAACATATCAAATGTGCAAAAAAAGTATTTACGCAAGTGATGTTCAGCCTTCTACTATCTCAGGATATGTAACCATCTACTATGACGTCAGATGCTCTTGAGGATGCAATACTTGATCTGATTGGACAAAAGGTGTCGTACGATGTACACCCAAATGGTTTCTTCAGCAAAATTTCACTCCTTACATAACTTGTGACTATGATTCATCAACGTAATCACAACAATCAAAAAAAAATATGCTAAAACTTGCTATAATTTCATTTTTATTGTTGCTGCCATTTTGCTTACTGATTACTAGTATTTACTACAGCTTGAGAATCACAGGTAATCTTGTGACTCAGTTATGATTTAAAATAAGTAAGTTCACCTGTTATTTGTAAGGTTAAATGGATTACAGTATTTAGAAAACATAAAAAAACAATTTTATGTCAAGAAAAATACATTTCTCAAATATGGGATTTGTCGTGTAACAGGCAATAAAGCTGTGTCCTCTTCTTAATTTGGAGTATGAGACCAGTGTTATTTTTTTACAAAAATAGCATAACAAAAAAGCCTCACAATACAAATTACCACAAGATTGTGAGGCAATGCACAAAATCCTACAAAGCAAGTTTATTATTATTCATGTTTCTCAATATACTGTATTGCAGTTGATTTCTAAATAGTTTAACGCCACAAGTAATGTATCCTAGTAACATAGTATTTATAGAACTAGATACAGTGTATATACCTTTTCTAAAAGAAGATTCTCTCAAAACCACTTATATTCTCCTCAGTTGCAGTTACATTTACATTATAAGAGGAACCAATGTAAATAGAACACCTAAGTTAGAACACTTACACATGTTGTGCTGTACTGTACATAGATTAGTCAAAGGTGTAATTATACTAGTTGAGGTAATCAAGTCTATAAATCTCATTGTTTACATAATCATAGAAAATGTCACAAAGTATTACAAATTACAGTATTATACAATCATAAACTTTATATTTTCATTCATTTTATATGCTTCAACAATATATTTTTGTAGTTTTTATATATTGTAGTTAGAACATATGTTATATAATTTATATAGTCATTTCAAAATGTTATAATGATGGCCATTGGATATTTCTAATCGGAACTTCTCTCACTGAAGTGAAAAGATTGTTCAAATCAAGTCTGTGAATCTCATTGTTTGAATAATCAAGGAAAATGTAAAAAAATACTACAAATTACAGTATTATTATACTCATAGATTTCATAAATTCATTTTTTTATATGCATGAACAATATTATTTTTGTAATTTCTCATATATTATAGTTAGACAACTTCATATGTTATGTAATTAATATAGTCAACTTCAAAATGTTATAATGGTGATAGTTTTTTATATATTGTAATTAGTTCATATGTTGTTATTAATTAATTCTATGCAATAGAATGTTTTATGTGACATCGAAGGGGACGTTCTACTCATGGTCAGCAGTCCAGAATCAGAAGATGGTGTTGAAGTAGATGCATGGTTGAGTTAAATTGTAAATTTAAAGTTGGCGTGAAAAAATTTTCGAAGGAAATATTACAAGAAAGTTTATAGTTGTTTTTCATACAAACAACTAGAAGGTAAGCAAGTAGTTAGTTTAGGGTCTGTTGGACCTGGAGTTTATTGTTACAGTTCATTTGTAAGGTTAAATTGATTACAGTATTTATAAAACATAAAAAAGCAATTTTATGTCAAGAAAAATACATTTCTCTATTATGGGATTTGTCGTGTAACAGGTAATAACGCTGTGTCCTCTTCTTAATTTGGAGTATGAGACCAGTGTTCTTTTTTACAAAAATAGCATAACAAAAAAGCCTCACAATACAAATTACCACAAGATTGTGAGGCAATGCACAAAATTCTACAAAGCATTGGTTCTCTATTACACATGTTTCTCAAAATACTGTATTGCAGTTGATTTCTAAATAGTTCAACGCCACAAGTAATGTATCCTAGTAACATAGTATTTATAGAACTAGGTATATACCTTTTCTAAAAGAAGATTCTCTCAAAACCACTTATGTTCTCCTCAGTTGCAGTTACATTTACATTATAAGAGGAACCAATGTAAATAGAACACCTAATTAGAACACTTACACATGTTGTGCTGTACTGTACATAGATTTGTCAAAGGTGTAATTATACTAGTCGAGGTAATCAAGTCTATAAATCTGATTGTTTACATAATCATAGAAAATGTCACAAAGTATTACAAATTCTCGAAATCTCGATTGGCTCTACAATCACTCTTCAATGAGAAGGTGCGAAAGTTATTCCTTATATGGTAAAAATATTACCCATGATTCAGTTCGCGGGGTACAACTTTTTTCTTCCTGGTTTTATCCCCATTGGTTTAACATTGGTATTTTCATACCCATTTTTCAATCGATATTTTCGATCAAATCTCCGTGCGATCAGAGAAAAAAAACTATCAGAAACGATTACTCTTTTGATAACCTTTATATAACAGACATTTTTTCTCGTTCTATTGGCTGATTGGCTCCTAACGGAGTGAAAACAATGGTTGAAAAGAGGAATATATTCCGGAAGTGAAGAAATCACGTGATCAGTTGACTAGCCACCATATTGGTTCTAGAAAATATATTACTATCTTTCTCAAGTTTTCAATAATTACACGCTAATTACACACAGTATTCTAAGGAAATATTCATGTAAACAATGCCAGTGAAGTATTGCTGCGTGGTAGGATGTACCTCCGATTCTCGGAAGCACTTAAAGCATGGAAAATACCCATGGATGAAGAATGTGATTTTTTTTCCCATGCCAAAAACAGATAATATCAGGAATAGAACTATATTCAGAAGATGGGTAAAAATGATCAATAGGAAAGGTTGGGAGCCAACAGCATACACATGCGTTTGCTCAAGGCATTTTGTGGACAATGAGCCAACATCGGCTAACCCTGTACCAACTTTGTGTATGGCCCCAGTGTCTGGAAAATCTCGTAGCCCTAAGAAAAGATCTACCCGCAAACTCAATCCCGCTGACTCCAGCTCTCCCACTTTATGGACAGCTATTCCGACTATAGATCTAGTTGATGAAAATTTGGATGGCGATGATGCAGATCTAGCTCTTAACAATGTATGTTATGTGTTAATAAATGTGTCGCGTCTCATGTAAATAATAATTGCAATTTTCTGAAAAATATAGATCGGCTGTCAGGCTGTTGTTTTAATTTGATATCAAATTATTTTTTCACAATAACTATATAATGTACAGTATAATCACGTGTGACCTTCAAATTGCAAATGGCATGCATGTTGATGTAATGTTGCAAATTTTAGGTGGATGTTACTCTTTAACATTTAAACGGGTCAACCTTTAGTTGGAGATTATGGAAAATCGCTATTATCTTGAATTTTATCTCATGTATTTATATTTTATATGAATCCTAATTTTTATTTTTAGGATAACATAGTCAGTGATCAGAAGGTGGAGCAAACTGCTGTGTTACTTGAAGCGGGAGATGTACAGGTTAATGAAGTTGAGGTGTCACTTCATGCTGATCGTAAGACTGGACCTACCATTGGGGAAATGTCAGGTAAGCTTGATTTGACACAAAATCAAAAGCTTTTTTTGTCTCATACAAGTTATTTATTGTGTCATAATAAAAAGTAAAGAGAATACTGATTTACTATTCTCCTACTTACAATTCTTTCAAGATATTTGGCAGATTTCAAGATAATAGATTCATTGATTCCTTCATCAAATGCATGTATTTTTATATGAAATATGTTATATTTGACCCCACATGCATGATATTTGAAGAAAAACTGGGGATTACTTCCCCTGTCTAGATTGGTTACAACTTGGCAAAATTGGACTTCTCGCCAAATTGGCAAATTTAATTTGAAGTACAATACTTCATTACTCAACAAAAATTGTGACATACTGTACTCCCACTAATATTTGACGCTATTATATTTCGCATTTTGGTCATTTTGAAATTTTGCGGCTATTATATTTCGCTATTTTTCAGGTTTTGAAATTTCACGGCTATTAATTTCCGCGGATTTGTCATACAAGATTACTCTTCCGACTTCGATATCGTAAGAATGTTCATTTTAATACAGTAATAATAAAAATGTTCATATTAATACAGTAATAACAATCTTTGTTCTAATTTTTTCTCATTTTCAAAACTCGAAATGTCATGTTTTTATCTATTATCGCCCAGCACTGGACGACAATTTTGTCAACATTGAAATATAGTAGCGCGCGAAAAGCGCGGGAGTACAGTATTTTGATGCTTAATGTTAACGATCGATATTGCCGATTTTCACTTATGTTTATTTCATAATGACAACATATGACTGTCCTGTTAATTTATCTGTATTAAAGAAAACCTCTAAAATTAGATGTAAATTATCGAAAAAATTAAGTCACAACACAGTTCCCAGATTCAATTTATTTACTATTAAACATCTTTCTATTCTCTTCTTCCAGTCTTCAAACACAGTGTTGGACCTAGTCCAGAACATGACTACACACACCAATCGCCAGGGAAGGCAGTTCGCACGAGAGAAATGGGTGTCCAGACTGACATTTCACGTGTTGAGTTTGATGAAATGGAGCGCTAAGCGTCTCTGCTTCAGGACAAACCCAAACTCAGGAGAGAACTGTTCATTGATCACATTCTAAAGGATGACGCAACAATCAACAAATTCACAGGTGTGAGAAGTAGATCCCTGCTAGATGGACTCTTCTGTATATTAGTTGGTTGTGTAACAAAGCTCAAGTATTGGAAAGGTAAACAAAGTGCCTCAAAATTATGAAGATGACCCCAAACGGAACAAAACTGGACCAAAGAGAAAGTTGGAGCCATTTGCAGAATTTTTATTGACTTTAGTCAGGCTTAGACTGGGAGTGCCTCTATTTGCAATGTTTGGGATCGGCAGTACCATTTCTTCCAACATATTCACAACTTGGATAACACTCATGGCTCAAACATTTATGCCACTGATTAAATGGCCATCAAGAAAAAAAAGAGAAAAAACATATGCCTCAGAGTTGTACAATCATAAACTTTATAATTTCATTTATTTTTATATGCTTCAACAATACTATATTTTTGTAGTTTTTATATATTGTAGTTAGTACATATGTTATATAATTTATATAGTCATTTCAAAATGTTGTTATGATGGCCATTGGATATTTCTAATCAGTACTTCTCTCACTGAAGTGAAAAGATTGTTCAAATCAAGTCTGTGAATCTCATTGTTTGTATAATCAAGGAAAATGTAAAAAAAAATACTACAAATTACAGTATTATTATACTCATAGATTTCATAAATTCATTTATTTTTATATGCATGAACAATATTATTTTTGTAATTTCTCCTATATTATAGTTAGACAACTTCATATGTTATGTAATTAATATAGTCAACTTTAAAATGTTATAATGATGGTAGTTTTTTATATATTGTAATTAGTTCATATGTTGTTATTAATTAATTCTATGCAATAGAATGTTTTATGTGACATCGAAGGGGACGTTCTACTCATGGTCAGCAGTCCAGAATCAGAAGATGGTGTTGAAGTAGATGCATGGTTGAGTTAAATTGTAAATTTAAAGTTGGCGTGAAAAAATTTTCGAAGGAAATATTACAAGAAAGTTTGTAGTTGTTTTTCATACAAACAACTAGAAGGTAAGCAAGTAGTTAGTTTAGGGTCTGTTGGACCTGGAGTTTATTGTTACAGTTCATTTTAGTGTTGTTAATAAAAAAAAGTTGGTTTTCAATTGCAAGCTTGAATTCCGGTCGGCCGTAAGCTATAGCGTCAGCAATTTCAGCTCTAGGAAGTAGGTAGAAAAGTCAACAATCTTGGAATATATCTAGTGATGATTAAGTTCCAGTAGTTGCAAAAAACAAATGTGAATCAATGTGATTCAGCCTTAGTAAGCTAGGTAGGAAGGTTTACAATATCAAACGGTGACCATAGCAAGAATATTAGGATCTAAGAGTTGAAATATAGAAACTGGTCATACTCTGGAGATACATGTAGACATTAAAGGCCATATACCTTGTAGATCAGGTAGGAAGGTAACAGCTGATTAGGGCATCCCCGGGTGTAATATGTAAGTAAGTTGTTTTTGTAAGACCACAGCAATGGTTGTCACCTGGCGCCAGTAGATAAGTTCGTTATGAGAAACAAGCGAATTAATTAGGTGGACGCAAGTAAGTTCAGCATAAGGGGTAACATTGTGATTGCTTTGTGAGTGGTTGATCAATAATATTCTCCTTTCAGTGAGATGACTGATAAACCACAGGTTTGGATTGTTGGGACCTCTCATATGATTCGTCTGCAGAAATTCGTGGAGGATAACCCTTGGAACTTCAAAAAGAGCCTGGGATTCAGAGAAGAATATACAGTGAAAAGTGGGGGTTTATCAAGGAGCTAGGAATAAAAGTTGATGCTCATTCGGGACAAGCATATGAATGTTGTTTTATACAAGGGGGTGGAAATGATATTAGCGATATGACGAAGAGAAAGGGGGACCTAGAGGTTATTAGCAAAGAAATAGTTGAAAAGCTGTGGGAATTAGGCAAGAAATGCAAAAAGCATCTAAAACCCAGTGGGTGGGTGTTGATCTGAAAATTAATCCATAGGACCCCATCACAGAAATATTTGAAAGGAATACTACTACATAGGCTACTACATACATAAGCTACTATGTACTTATATTGTATGTATCTGTATGTATTACATTTAGTTTATGGTTTGGTAGGAAATCCACCTACCTACATTTTTCAGTGTTCTAGTTTGAAAACTTTTCAATTCTCTTTTCATCTACAATTGATACACAATGTTACTAGCTACTATATATGTCATAATGTTGACAGCAAATATTCCTATAAGATGTACATATTATTTCAAAACATATGCATAACATTTTATGATCATGATGCCTGAAAATAACATGATTGGTACATGGGTTCAATTGCCATTTGCCTCTTTATTTGAAGATGACTTTATAGATGCTGCTCTATATGGATCATCTCTCCATTTTTTCCGATAAACTTTTCAATCCTATACATCTTCTTCCTGCTGAGGAATCTGATGACTCAAGGTTCTCTGAATTCACAGAAACCTTTATTGGCAAATGTAATTATCATGAAACACATGAACTCAAGAACAAAATAGGGTCGTCTTTAAATACAGAGCTTTCAATTCTTAATCTCAACTCCAGAAGTATCTTAGCTTATCAGTGGAAACTGGATAACTTATTAGCTACTACTGATGTAATGAGTTTTTGTATAAATGACTGCAAAGCTATGAGTATAAGACTATAAAGTCATGAGTATTAAGATGTAGTTAAGCCATGAGGTTTTGTATAAAAGGCCATATAGCCATGAGTTTTTGTATAAATGACTGAAATGTCATTTTATAAAACCACTGTATGTATGTTAAGTGAATCATCACTTTTAATTACTTGAATTAAAGTACTTTTGCATTTAATTATGATGCTAATTAAGTGTTTGATTGATTATTTAATAAATTTTTTATTTCATTATTTTAATAAAAAGTCTTCCAATGTTGTTCTTTCAGTTATGTTCAAGTAAAAGTGAATTTCATCCAAGTCAGTAATGCAATAATATGATTATAACAGGAGTGAATCTTTAAAAGGTTGTTTGGACAATGTGGTACTGAGGGTTTTCGAGAAAATTGGCTGCCATAAATTATGTTCCTCAAATGAATTGGAGTTAAAACATAGTTTGCCGGAACAAAATCTTGACTATTTATCAAAATACAGCTTTGCAAACTTCACGGGCTTTTATCTCAAAAGTGCATAAAGCTCAGTTAGAACAAAATTGCAATAATGCGACGACATGCCTTCATACTTAATTTTGTACCAGAAAATAACATGTGCAGGTATAGCAAATTTTTACCAAAATGTTACTTTCCAGCTGTACCTTAAGGTTTTAAATTATATTCTATTCAAATTCTATCACCGTTGAATTATATATCTGCTTTAATATGGGCTTATTAGCCTTTTGCAGATTACTGACATAGACATAGATGTAGAGACCTACTCTACATATTAAAGCATAAAGGGGTAAAATAAGGAAAATGCAGTATGATTCTAAAAATCCCTTGAATGGTTTGTGGTTTTTTTTGTGGGCAATTTAAGTGCATTGAAAGTTAATGGGGACTTTTTCTGGGTAGTAAATTGTTTTGTTGTTGTTTTTGCCCGGCTTTAGTGAATGCAGACCTTGATCATGAAACTTCACTCTGGTAATCAGCTGATGGTGATAGTGGGTCCCTGGCTCTGTGGTGTGAAGTTCCTCATAAATTATATCTTGTGAATCAGTGTTTAAGCCTTGAGAATGCCTTCGGTTGCAGAAATTGTAGTGGAATTTAGAAAAATACCTCACAGGAATTTCGGGGATTCCCCGTTTCTCCGTTACAGCAGGGCAATGAGGGGATCCATATGTTGCCTTGAAGCTGGATTCCTAGCAGGAATGTGATTACCCGGCATTCACTGGGACCCTAAACCTTTAAAATTCCTCTAAAATATGTAACCTTGTGCATTCCTGGCAGGAATTTCTTTTAAATATCTATTAGATATGTGATTTCATGCATTCCTAGATGGAATCTTTTAAAACACCGGTCTTTGAGCATTTAGTATAAAATGCTCTTTGTACCTGCTTTGTTGTAACAGTTTTCAATCGCTACCGGCCCTGGACTTGGCATACGGAAAGACATCTGAATAACGAAGACTTTCCGGCTTTCTAAACTTGCTTCTGAAGCGGGCAAGTCGTTGTTTGATTGAGCCAAAGGATAGGAATCGTTCGCAATATTATCTGATTGACCTAAAGCATCGTAATCGTTTGTAACATGTCATCTACACCAATGTGGATGTTTGTAAGTACAAATTAATTATTGAATAGTCGATTTATTGTTCCAGCAAGATAGTTGTAAAATAATAAGATAGAGAGAAATTTCAAATCAAATCGAATAGATTTTTATTCCTTTGAGCTTGCTCTATCATTTAATAGCGCGTTTAGAAGATTAGGCGATACATTGGAAAGCCTGAGTGAATCTGTAATAAGGGTTGATTATCATCGATTCCTTATTAATTTCTGTTATCTATTAGTTCAAACATTTAGAGGTTTGAAAGAGATAGAGAGAAATATAGGGAGTCTCCGAATATAAAAGCAAGACCGTGAATTAGTTATTATTATCAGAGCTTTCAGTAACGCGTCCTCTATATTAAGAGGACCCGGATTTTGATGAAGGGACTCCAAAAAAAAAAAGATCCATCCCTGGGACGCAAAGCTGTAAAGTTCGTTTCCAGACGATCAAACCTCAAAAAACGAAAAATGTTACGTACTAACCTAGTTTAATAAATTATTCCTGTTTTATATCACTGAAAATCGAGGTCAGTTTTGATGCATTTCCAGCTTTATCACCGTCTTACATTGTTTACGTTTTCAAGGCCACTTCCGGGTTCTTCTCTCGTTGCATGAGATCACGTGATCAAACTGTATCATTATTGAATGGCAATATTCAACCAAGAATACCATTTATTATTGCTTAGTATATGATATGAAACGATAGTTCGATGCTGGGA